TTACAGGCTGTCAGCATAAACCACAAAATTTACAATCTTTCAACTGTTTTTTATCACCAAAATTTTATTCTAATAAGAGCCCCCTATTTCTAATTTTGAGAGCACTCTGGGCACTTATTCCGTCAAATACGGTATTCAAGCTGTTAAGTGGTATTTTCACAAGTAAGCACTGATTAAGTGAGTAAAGAGTGAATCTGCTATTAGTGATAGTCCAACAATATCATGTTGAGAGACGCTTTAAATGGACAAGCAAACACTTTAACCATAAGCCTACCCGACAGCTGAAGAAAGACTCTAAAGTTGACACAATTTGATCTGACCAATCCACAATGCTTAACAGTTATGTTTTCACTACCTTATCAAAATCACTTTAGAGTCAACTAGCACCAGTAGCAATCATTTGTCAAATTCTGTGACAATACCCAAAGACTGATCCTTAACGATAACTGAGACAATATTGAGCAGTAATGTTGCATTGCTTCAGACTAAAGAAATCCTAATAAGGAACTTGCCATTATTACAGGGGGGTGGATGGTAGGCCGTTAGTATCCATGAGTGTTGCCAAGGAAACCTCTAAAAAGTAGGTCAAGTGTGGCTACCCTTCCACTAAAGTTTTCCATTTTTCTATGACAGTGCTCATGATGTTAAAATATTTTGTTTGAATGAAACAAATAGTAATCAACTGTTTCTTTTCATTACCTCCTCAAGATATTGTAATCCTATTCAAGACACCCCCCGCCCCCACCCCTATTTCTAGTTTCCTCCTATACCCCTGCCAGCCAACTGCCCCCCTCTCCACCCACCCTGTGATAAACAACGTCCCTGTCCATAAATCTGACACATCATATATTGCATTATTCAAAAAAAGAATCAGGAAGAAAACACTTCAACTTCATAAAAGAAAAAGGTATTAAATAAAATTATGCATGATATGTAAAAAACGAAATTAAAAATAAAATATCATTGTAGACATTAATAAAAAAAACTAAAATCATATCATCTTCAAGATTTCTTAAAGATAATGATCTGCTCTGGGAAGCATCACATAACATAACATTGCATTGAAGTATTACAAACAAAACAAAACGACTTCCATTTGATGGAAATCAGAATAAATCTGAAATAATAACTTCATAAACAGACTTTTCGGACATTACCATGGTTACATGATAAAAAGATAAAGAAATGCAGAAAGATGAGGGATCATGCCATTGGCTTATATTGTCATGTCACGATAACGAGGCCACAAAAATTTCTTTTCTTGCTTCCTGCTCCAAATTTTGCAAAATGTATATAAATTGATTGTTTGGTTGTTGTTTAAAGCCTTACTCAATATTCCAGCTGTATGATGCCATCTGAAAATATTCTAATCTGGACCAGACAATTCATTGACTGACATTTGGAGCAATGACCCCACAGTCAGGCTACAAGGACACGTATCAACCAAGTCACCGAGTCTGACGCCCCAATCCATGAGTCACCTCTTTGGACAACCATGGGTTCCTGGGAACCAATTCCAGCCCCATGGGGGTTCTTAAAAGTGAGTGAGTGAGTTGGGTTTAACGCTGCTGTAAACATTATTCCAGTTATATCACAGCGTAATGTGGGAGGAAAGCCCGAAGTGATGCATGTCTCAGACATTTACCACTTCGGTGAAACCCACGAGCACGGGTATGGTGCTGACAAACCTAGAAACATAATTGGGGCGAACCGGGATTCGAACCCACAATCAGGTTTCTGGTGTGTCCAAGGGACGCAACACTGCACAGCGAATTGCGGCGCTATAGACGACTGGGCCACCTGTGCCCCCGGGTACATAATAAGTGAAATGTATCATCTGCACCAAAACAGTACTTTCTGAACATCATTTGTTCATATTTTGGAAATGAAACTCAAATCAACAATGATAGCATTAAAAATTATTTTTCCACTTGGTCTCCTGACTTGGCATTATGAACAGGTAACTGCAACAAACATATTTGGCCTGAACTGTTTAACACAGCATAGTGTCATCTACATCATTAATTGCATAGCCGAGAATAACACTGAAAATTAGCAAGAACAACTAACAATATATATCCATTACACTGTATGAAGACAGACTTTAAACACTCTTTCTTGTGGTTATAAAAAATGAACAAAACTGCAAATGACAAAACGTAAGAGCATATTGGACATTAGTAACCACAATATTTGTTAAAACTTGTAATTTGTTCCTGTTAACATTGTAAAGATGAAGTGTTTCAAATTCATTACCAACTAAATCAATAAAATACATAAACATATGCATATAAACAAAGCTGTTTACTTGTTTAGATATAATAAAGTTAAAACACTAATGACAGAACAAGAAATTAAACTGAGCAAAAGCATGTCATTGGTGCACCTTTCTTCTTATGCAGTTATGTACTTAAGTCAATAAGCAACCGAAGAAGGGATATAAATTATAGAGAACTAAAAAAATAAAAAATAAATTAAATTAAAAACAAAATTCAAACACTTTCAGGATCATATCTTCAAAAACAAATGACTACTGCAGGATATCCTATCAAAACACATGAATCTATGATTCCATCTTAAAAAGTAACACAATTTAAAACCACTTTGAAGTCATTTTTCACATACTCTAACATGTGGAACAGAACCCTGACTTAGACTGGGACAGAGAAATGCACTAACCACAAGGCTACTCGCCTTGCTGAACACAGAACAATGTGAAGATGGCAGTGGTAAAAGATGATGAAGTAGAAACAAAATGGATGAGTGTGAAGCGTGAGAGGCTAAAACATATGAAAGCTCATAGTAAGACATACATGGAATATAGTATTTATATCAGTGAATAGTGACAACACTTATTTTAGTAGGGCAAGCAGCATCAAGTTTATAGTTTTGAAGTGTAGAGTAAGTTTTGATACCGAGTCCCTTAGCTATGAGGTCTCTGCAGGAAAGAAAGAACCATTATGTAGACAGCTCACAAAAACATGGCAACCTGTAGTAATACTTTCTTACAACTATTTTCATGTCAACTTGTAGTAATACTTTCCTTACAACTATTTTCATGTCAACTTGTAGTAATACTTTCCTTACAACTGTTTTCATGTCAACCCTGAAGTAATATTTTCCTTGCAATTTGCAATTTTCAAGTCAACTTGCAGTAATACTTTCCTAGCAACTATCTATTTTCATGTCAACCTGCGGCAATACTTTCCTCACAACTGAAATGTTTTCAACATATATCCTAGTTTCCCCTTTCCAAGAGACGTTCGTTTTTTGAGCTTAATTCTTGACAATAAAAATGGGAAATTGATGTACAATTTGGCATTCTTCTCCCAAAATATTCTTCATTTAAGCAGACAACTTAAGATCAAATATAAGTCACATGATATCACAGATCCTAGATTTGTAACATGACTGTAGACCCCTTCAGGGAATGTTCCACTATATCTTTTAGAGAATTTCACCTTTTATCACCCCCAAAAATAAATAACACTTTTGGTAAATCTGGAACTGGATGATCAATCATCTCTCTTGAACGGCTGCATAAGATGTCCAGCCACTAATTTACTGTTTGTCTTTTTCCAAATGGTCAATGTATGGTATTGGAGTCATGCTGTGTATCGTGATGTGGCTCAGCAGAGTGAGGGTGTGAGAGGGTGTGGCGTTTATTACAACTGGGACTACACATGACAATACAAGGCATAATTTTTCTCTTTATGTCATACAGTTTCTGAACTATACTACGAAAAAGTAGTTTAGCACCACCCAATTCTTTCATATTACTTTAGTTTATCTGTCATGACAGGGGGGCACGGGTGGCCCAGTCGTCTAAGTCACCACGATTCACTGTGCAGAGTTGCATCCCTTGGGTATGCCAGAAACCTATGATTGTGGCTTTGAATCCCGGTTCGCATCAATTATGTTACCAGGTTTGCCAACACCATACCCATGCTCGTGGGTTTCACCGAAGTGGTAAACGTCCGAGACCTGCATCACTTTGAGCATTTTTCCCCACATTAAGCTGACACGCCGCGATATAACTGGAATACTGTTAAAAGCGGCGTTAAACCCACCTCACTCACTCACTCTGTCATGACATATTAACCATAGTATAATGAAAGAACCTGAGTCTTAACTTCTTTTGAGCAGTCTGTGCCAAAAGCTATTGAATCTACCAGCCTGAACTAGACACTGAGAATCATTTTCTATAGAATTTAGTGTTATCATGTGGCTTATTATTAGCTGAACTAACAGAATTTTCCTAGATTTGGGCTGTGGACAATTTGCTTAAGTTGCAGACTGTTTGTGTAGTACATATTATGTCTTTTTCAAAAGGGGTACTCACACCTATGACACCTACCCACCCACCAGATTAAATGCTTCACTCAATAAAAGCCAATACCAAACCTCTTGCCACAAGCATGAATTATTACATGAATGATGATGAACAATGACTAATCCTGATATCTGTCACTGACAGAATGGCTTTTTCAATAAATAGTTCAAATTTGCATAATGCTCAATAAAATAACCCAGAGAAATCTCAGCTCCTCTTAATGAAATAAAAAAACATAAATATGCCAAGAATCGTTCTTATTTCAAGTCAGCTACTTGAAGCTGTTCTTCCGTATTTGGAAGTGTAGGACTACTCCATGTCATAGCATGTAGCATCATGTAATATCACACAAAACATCCTGTAATATCACACAAAATCCTGTAATATCACGCAATAACATCCTGTAATATCACACAATAACATCCTGTAATATCACACAATAACATCCTGTAATATCACACAATAACATCATGTAATACCACACAATAACATCATGTAATATCACAGAATAACATCATGTAATATCACAGAATAACATCATGTAATATCACAGAATAACATCATGTAATATCACACAATAACATCATGTAACCATCTCTCATAGTCTTCACTGGGAATGAATACTGTTATCTCCGTCCTTATAAGGAAGTCATGTGGGCACACTTACATAAGCTCTATATTCAGGCTGATTGCATCCGCTAGATTTCGACCCGTCGTTAAATATGACACACTCATTGGCTTCCACGTGTAGATCGGACGCTGCCTGAACAAAGATCAGCTTCTGGTGGAGGACTCCATCCACAAACTCCAGCTTAATGTGTGGCTTCTGTCCTCCTTGCTGAAATACACACAAAAACACGGCCTGAAGAAGACATCAACTGCATTTCAGATGACAGGGATGAAATATAGCCTTACATTTGTTTGTTTGTTGTTTAACACCTCACTCAGCACTATTCCAGCTATATTTCAGTGGTCTGTAAATAATTGAGTCTGGACCAGACATTCCAGTGATTGACATCATGAGCATCGATCTACACAACTGGGATACGATGACCTGCATCAACCAAGTCAGCAAGCATGACCACTCGATCCCATTTGTCACCTCTTACGACAAGCATGGGTGCTGAAGACCAATTCTAACCCAGATCTTCACAAGGGACTTAACCCAACACATTTTAGCCAAAGGAGGTCAAACACAAAAAAAAGCCTGAAATTTTGCTATGCCTCCAGATGCTTTTAACATTGACAAAATGACATGGGCGAGTTGATTCGAGCCAATCTGCATCCATGATTTTAGTTGATTGGTAGCATAAAATGTAAGCATTAACATCAAGGGTCTTCAACAGAACCCAAATGTTGAAACGGTAAACGGGTCCATATGTTAGTGTTCAAGGACCCTGTTTCAAACAGTTGTTGGTATTATTTGAACATTAAATCATACTACACAAGACATGAGACTAACAAAACATTAGGCAAGGCAGCATAATATACTTAACTGCATAACTGTAATGACAGCAGAATTCATGGGGGGGGGTGGGGGGTAGGGGGTGGGGGGTAATTCTTTTTTACATATCTGCGTGTTAGATTAATATGGGAGGGGAGCCCAGACTGATACAGATCGTGGGTGTTCACCCCTTTGGTTAAACCCACCCACAGGTGTAAGTTGCTGACAGACCAAGGATTCTTATTGGGCTCATCCTGGTGCAGCTAAGGGACACAACTCACCTCAACAAAATATGGTGTCCAGGTGCCTCACCATACTGACACACAAACACTGAGCTGTTGCCATGACTACATGACATCAAGATTCATGGTACATTAGGAGTGAGTGAGTGGTTAAGTGAGTGAGTTGCCGCTTTTAGCGATATTCCAGCAAAGGGGCTTCACACATTGTACCTATGCGGGGAATCAAACTGGGTCTTCGTCATGACGAGCAAACACTTTAACCACTAGGTTACCCCACCATCCCAGGAACTTTAGGTGAGGTGAAGTGAAATGGGGTTTAACGTCGCGTCCAAGATTATTGCACTTATATAGCGACGTGCATGTACGTGTGTGTGTTTGTGTGGCTGCTTGTACTAGTCCGGACTGATGCCGATAAATAGTGCTAGCTCACTGAGATACCATGCCGCAGTGTGACTCCGACCTGACCAGTCCTCGTTTTAGCCCCTTAATGCCGAGCGCCAGACAGGGTAACAAGTACAAGCTTTTAACGTCTTTTGGTATGACACGGTCGGGGATCGAACCCCGGACCTTCCGCTCTCCGGGCGGACGCTCTACCACTAGGCCACGGAGGAGGTCCCAGAACTTTAGGAAATTGCAATGATTACAATAGTTTCAATACCAGCTTATTGCATCCTCGATAATCCAGGGTATATATCCCCATTCTATAATGACAAATGCTCTGGACCCAATTGCCACCATAGCTGTGTTTTGAGCCTGATCGAATAAGTGTGATGCATTGCATTAATTCAAATTAATCCCAGAAATACTGTGGTGAGCTGGAGATGTGATGGGGATAGAGACGTCACGTCCAAAATGAGTGATTGTGTTTTTGGAGGGGAGGCACCAAGAGCCATCAACTGTGTCCGATTTGCACTGACATATGCCCCCCGAGAATACAGGGTGAGTCTTACGGGTTGTAGACCATGAGTGAGTGAGTGAGTATGGTTTTTTACCCTTTTAGCAATATTCCAGCAATATAACGGCGGGGAACCCTGAAATGGACTTCACACATTGTACCCATGTTCACTCTTTCCTGGTGTAGGTGTAGAGTGTGTCCAGGGTGTTAATCACAATAGAAAGGAGATATAATACACTGCATAATCAAGAACGGGTTTATAGGGGTTCTGTATTTCTGAAGCCATAACCACGTCAGGAGTACCCTCAGTGAAACCCTGTGTTTTGAGAAACATCCCGCCTTGAGGATGGTTGTAGCAGGGTAACCACAGATCAGTAGGACTTCCGATCAACCATATTGTTGCTACACAGAGCTACACTCCTTCCACGGTGCTTTCCTCATAGATTCCTGATTCAGAACATACTGCACTTACAACACTCCCCTAATGTACCCTAAAAAATAACTTCACTTGATAAAACACTTAATATTTTCATATGTAACTAATGTGTTGGAATCATCGAGAAGGTACGAATTTTGGTCGCCATGCATACAGCGGATAAAAAAATCTTAACCAGTCCGGCTTCCAAGTCAATAAGTAAATATATTGTCACGTAATCTGAAATATAAGTACTCATATTCGAAGACAGGTGTCTTAGGATGTGAATCCTGTTGTTTGTCGTTAAATCACGACGTATGCACCTTGCTGAAGCATATAAGTGTGATGCAGATTTGGATCAGGGTCTATTATCAAAACACATTGGGACATCCTATAGCTCTGTGTAGCGACAAGTCAAAATCAAAATCGGGATGGTGGTAGGTGATTGAAACTAAGGGAAGTAACTCTAAACTCACAATTGGCCAATCCAAATATTTGAAAAGCTTGATAATTTAACCGTATTAAGGAAGAGAATTTATGGATGTCAACTTCTTTATTATGAGGAACATGTCATTCACCTGATGAAGGAGTAAGCATATACTCCGAAACGTTGAGTTCCTCATAATAAACAAGTTGACATCCATAAATTCTCTTCCTTATGTGTATCAGTTCTAAATGTCATTCAAAGACGTCCACTGTATTGATACAAATTATCAGGGTTCCACTGAATGCCCCTTGAACTCTTGCAGGAAAACTGATAATCCATTTCCCAAAAGAGGTAAAATGAGGTTCCGGGCCAACCTTTGTGGGATATTGGAAGGTAGGTAGAGGTGGTAAGGTGGTTTCAAGACTAAACTCGGGTGAACATTCAAACCTTCACAGTAAACCGGTGTCAGAAACTAAAATAGTTAATTCACTGAACCACTAACCCAAGATAATACTGAAAGCTACAAAATATATAAAAACATGATTTGGCATCACTGAAAAAACAGCAAAGATTTAAAAAAAAGACATACATTGTCACATGATGCCACACGGACAGAATTGCAACACCTGTTTGAAATTATAGTGCTATGCTGAAGTACATATGGATCAAGAGGCCCAGTGTACATCAGCACTTGTGATTAAGTAAGATGAGGTTAACCTCAGTGGTCAAGTCTGTCAAGCCTGTCAAGTTTATGGTACAGGAAGCCCCAAAATGGCCCAGGTTTTCAAAGTTTTGCGACCCAAGAGAATAGGTATTGTGTTGAGTGAGTGAGTGAGTGTGTTTGGTTTTACGCCATTTTTAGCAATATTCCAGCAATATCACAGCGGGGGACATCAGAAATGGGCTTCACACATGTACCCATGTCGGGAATCGAACCCAGGTTTTCGGCGTGTTGAGTGAACGCTTTAACCATTAGGCTACCCCACTGCCCCAGCTATATGACTATGGTCTCATTGATATCATGAGCATCGATCTACACAGTTGGGATACGATGAAATGCATCAACCAAGCCACCCAGTCTGACCACCTGATCTATCCTCTTACGACTAGCATAAGTTGCTGGAGACCTATGTTCTTACATGTAACGACCACGGGTGAATGGGATTAGACCCTTAGACCAGCAGGTCATGTTAGCAGTTGAGTGAGTGCTGACATACCATGAAACATAATCAGGGCGAACTGGGATTTGAACCCAGGATCATAGGTTACAGAATACTGAGGTCCATGCAAAATCATTTTGAGTCCACAGTCTGAACATGTTTTTTTGGTATTATTCTTAGTCTTCACATATGGACTAGTTTAATATTAAAGATATATAAAGATATATTTTACTAAAAACGGGCATCGGACAAGTTGCTACAATCACAGACTTATATAGTCAGCAGTACTCTACATCCACTATGTAAATTTCATAAGTTTACATATTTCATATGAAACATTCAGTATTAATGACTTCAGATGTTATTAAACTCAATGCTTGCAAACGGTATTCTAAAAGGGACTACAGCTACTGGAAAAATCAGTATTACTGGGTTGTACTACCTAAGTCAAATGCACTCTCTATAAGTAACTACAAACTATGAACACTAACAGACCATGCATAGCGCATGAACATAACGGAACAAAACCCACGTGGTCAACAAAGATGAAAAACAAAATGGGCAATAAAACCGTAAAGAAACAAGCATGCTGAATATATTCCGTCTGTCTGTATAATAAATTTTTAAAATCGTCAGCTAAGAAGGACAAGACAGATGGGAAGAAAGCCATTTCATTAAGGGGAGGTAATAAACTTGCCACAATACAACAGGAAGTAGAAGTCTTCCATGACAAATTGGAAACAAAATGCATGCTGGGAAATGTTAACACTGAAACAAGGCCAGCGTGTGTCGTACCATACATTGGGTCGTGTGCAGAGACACGGGCCGCACAAACAATTTGGGTGGCGTGATCACATGAGCCAGCAAACCTGAGTGCGTCTTCATTGGAATGAGACACTGGAAAGTAGGTCAAAGGTCACATGAATACTGCTTAGAAAGTAGGTCAATTTTCATATGTAAAATTGCTTTGATGCATCAGAAATAAGGACACATTGGGGTAAAATCAAACGCACCCAAAAAAATAATTTCAGTAAAAGTGTTACAGAATTACAAAAAATTATGCTAACTTTAAGTAAGTGTGTGCTTGTTATTTAATGCCGCACTCAGAAATATTTCAGCTATGTGTCTGCTGGCTGTAAATAATCGAGTCTGGGCCAGATAATCCAGTGATTGATATTGTGGGCAAAGATCCATGCCTTCGGGGTACAAAGACACACAATCAACCAGGCTACCGAGCCTGACCCCTAATCCATTAAGTCCCTTAAGCAACGGATGCTGGGGACCAATTCTAACCTGGCATCCTATGTAGCTAACATTAAGAGAATGAGTGAACGATGCACTCAGGTGCATGAGCAGTATTTCAGCTATTCACAGCAACATTAACTATAAGAATTCCTCTTTTCATTGGAAGAATCATAATACAAATACTTGTTCCTACAATGACCTTAATAAATCTAACAATAAGACCACAAACACAGATCAGGAAAGGAGGTGTAAATAAACACAAACAAATACTTCTGACATTAGTTTTCATGATTATAAACCATATTTTCTTCAATATTAGCATAACACTGCGCAGACATAGTTCAAATACAAAATTCTTGAAGTTATGGAAAATATGACCATGTTCAAACATTGCTGCCCGTACATACATATTACTATCACTGTAGGTACATCAAATAGATTACTTACAAACACGCTATTGTAAGCCCTGAAATGCTTTAGAAAGTTTAACTAATCTATTGATATTTCTTTGTCTGTCTTACATGCTTAGACTTTAATGTGTTACATATTTAATATCCAAACACTAGTGGTGGAATACCACTAAATAGTTAATCTAGTATGAATTTGTTGTACAGAATAGTCTTTATTATGGTCATTAGTCTTTTTAGGTAAAATATCAAACTAATAAAACCTTTCCATGATTAGACAATCTCCACCAACAAAAACACAAAGGATGTTGAAATTCTGAACAACAAATATTTATATTGTTAAATACATGACCAGAAAATATCTGTGAATCTTTCAGCCTATTTGAGGGTAGCTCATTTGATCATCCAATGATATTTCAGCATTTGGTTTCCCCTCATTGATCAACTAATGATATTCCAGCAAGGTGTCTAAACTTTTGAATCAACCAATGAGTCTGCAGCACAATGACCTCTCTAAACAAGCTATAAAAGAAATGCAGCACATGATGGTGCAGAGTGATGAAACAACGAAACTCAAGCATACTGTCCTCTTGTTTATTAGCTACTCATATTGTAGCATCTAGTCTCACAAAAAGATCATTGTATTTCAAGCTTACTCTCCTCTATGATTACCCAATGAGATTGCTGCATACTCTCCTCTATGATTACCCAATGACATTGCTGCATACTCTCCTCTATCTATGATTACCCAATGAGATTGTTGCATACTCTCCTCTATGATTACCCAATGAGATTGCTGCATACTCTCCTCTAACAATGATTACCCAATGAGATTGCTGCATACTCTCCTCTATGATTACCCAATGAGATTGCTGCATACTCTCCTCTAACAATGATTACCCAATGTGATTGCTGAATACTCTCCTCTATCTATGATTACTCAATGACATTGCTGCATACTCTCCTCTATGATTACCCAATGACATTGCTGCATACTCTAATCTATGATTACCCAATGAGATTGCTGAATACTCTTCTCTATCTATGATTAACCAATAAGGAAGCTGCATCTACCTCCAACTCCATAACTTTAAACCAATAAGATTGCAGCATCTATATTGTCCTCTTCCAAGAACAACCAATGCTTTTCAAACTTAAACTGACCTCTATTCATGATAAACAAATGCGTTTACAGCATCTACTGTCCTCTCTTTAAGATCAGCCATTTTATCAATTTATTAACAATTAAGATTGCAGCAACTACTGTCTCCTTGCATGAACAGCCAATGAATTGCAGCCTATATTTACCTGCACCCGCAGTTGGTTACATTCCTCTCCCTGACAAAGTCCTTTCTTCTCGTAGTATTCGCTGACTTCATCCAGCCGACTCGTAAAGTCACCGCTGACTGCAAACACAAGCTTAGTTCTTGCCAAATTGTTACACATCATTTCATGCAAGATGTCTGAATATCTTCACAAAAGACGGTATGTCTCCCCCCTTGACATCATTATATGTGACAGTGCTCAGTGCTTTGTTTGATTGTTTATTGTTTTACGCTGCACTCAGCAATATTCCAGCTGTATGACTGGTCTGTAAATAATCCAGTCTGGACCAGACAATCCAGTGATTGACATCATGAGCATCGATCCATACAATTGGGATACGATGACATGCATCAACCAAGTCAGCGAGCCTGACCACCCGATCCCATTAGTCGCCTTTTATGACAAGCATAGTCGCCTTTTACGGCAAGCATGGGTTGCTGAAGACCTATTCTACCCTGGATCTTCACAGGTCTGTGCTCTATACAAACAGAATTGTGTTGGGTTGGAAAATCAAAAGAAGCTTGGCTAGCTCTTATTGCAAAATAGTGCCACTGCACTGTAGCTCACCTTGATAAATAGCCAACAGTCTAAACTGTCACAAAGACACAACAAACTAAACAAATGCCAAATTTTCAACAAATTGGGGTGTCATCATTGATGTGAGTGAGTAGTTTTACATCGGTGTAGCAATATTTTAGCAATATTCCAGCAATATTCCAGTGGGGGAGACCAGAAATGTCCCTGTGGTTTCTGAGAATATCTTATGCCAGACAAACAGGCCATGACATAAGCTCACTTGAAGCTCAAATGAGCTTAATATGAATAAGATAAAACTATTTGTATCATTAAAAAGGAAAACACCTGCAGCTTACATAGGATATCCTCATTGTCTCCTGAGCACTGAGAGTTACCTCCCTTTTGAGCACACTGACTTCCACCTGAAAATGTATACATTTGTCATGACACTACTGTAACTTTGAAACAACCATCACTTCAAACTCTGAAAAATAAAATTAAAAGATTTCAACTTCCAAATTAGTACTGCTACCCAAAAAAAATGTATGATTGTGAACAATAGCAAAAAATAATTGATTGTTTTTTTGTTCAAATAAAGATTTGTATACGTACTATTCACCATTTCTTATGAACAGCAGTCTTGTCGGGAAAATTTCTGTGGCCAAAAGTCACACTGTATTTCATGTTTTGTTTTAGACACCGGAATTCCAATACCAGACAGCCTTTAATTGCCGCTGAGTCCATCATTTGATGAAATTAATTATCCTCATCACATTAACTTACTGTGCCACCATTAAACAGAATATACACTGGAATCTATTAGACACTGGGTCTATGGCTTGATCAGAATTAATAGCTGCCAGGGCGTCAATACAGGAAATATGGCATTTCTTTTTCTAATTTCAGGTTTTTATGGTTGGTCTTGTCAACCAACTAAAAGTATTATATGACCATAACTTATGATAGGATTATATAAACCCAGTATGAATAGTGAGTGAGTGAGTGAGTTGGGTTTAACGCGCTTTGGCCAGTATTCCAGATATATCACGGCATGTCGGTTAAATGTGGGAGGAAAGCCCCAAATGATGCAGGTCTCAGACGTTTACCACTTGTGAAACCCACAAGCACGGGTATGGTGCTGACAAACCTTAAAACATAATCGGGGTGAACCCGGATTCAAACCCACAATCATAGGTTTCTGCACAGCGAATTGCGGCCACTTAGATAACACGGGCACACGTGCCTTGTGTATAAATACAGAACATGTTATGTAAATGTTATATACTGAGAGAAGACATTCAAGTTCAATGGACAGATGAACAACAGATAATGCAAACATAAATAAACATGACAATGTTAGAGTGAGCTAAATATGAAACAGTGTTTTGATAAAATTAATCTTTTCCTGATTGTATTTGTTTTCTGTCACATTCCAGTTTGAATTGATTGATGATAAAGTGAAACTGTGTCAATTCATGACAAGTATGAAATATGAAAAAGGGGACAGAAAACCTGCAATGAAATAGGATTAGATTTTTGCCATCAATGAACAAAAGCAAATAGAGCCACATGGCTTTGTAGCTCACCTGGCTTATGATGAAATATTTTTATGACACTTTAACCATATTTTGGTACAAACATCTGGCGAGTCATCCAGTTAGGAAAACAATGTTAAGAACGAATAGTGCCTTGAACAAACTTGATCGTCTTATAATCCTTACCTTCACACAAGTTTAAGCCCTATTTCTTAACTCTTTCAACACAGTAGCCTGGTACGTTGGCCAAGAAGCCTCCAGACCGCCCCAGTCGGAGTCTCATCAAAATAAATAATTTTATGAACCTACCTGTCATATCATTCATTTATTAAATCTATGACATTTCACAATGTCTGAAATACGTATTCTATTTCAATTTCTTATTTTTTATTTATAGATTAAGAAATTATTCACTATAACCCGCAGTGTCAATAAAAATAGAATTCTCGGACTTTCACTTCAAGAAAGACGTTTCAAGCAAATCTTTAAATATATTATACAAAGTAATAAATAAAATCAACTAAAATATATCTAAAAAATGTCAGACTTATATCTCAGTAATTTCCATCCTTTCATGTGATCGCTTGTTATGCAAGTCAAATGACTTATCGGCTGAGACACAATGTTAAACGCCAAAATATATGCATGAAAAATCTGTGTCGCAGCTCATAACCTAGGACTATACATCCACAAAGTTCCATATTTTTAATATAGATTGAGATTTCCTGCCTAAAACGTTCAGAAGAACACAATTTAACAAAATATCTTTCGTCAAAATCTTAAATTCATCATACGCGAGGAGGGTACCTTTGCTGTAATTTGATTGGCTGCCTTAGGTCACATGCTCAAATTTGACCAATCACGGACCTTGCAGATTTTGGCAAGAAAGTGTCATTAGAAACCAATTTTTATCCAATATAATCGCATGTTACAGCCACGAAAAGACTCTAGGCAAGGTTACTATCGTGTAGATGAATAAATAAACTTTCTTTTGGTGTGTCACATGGCAGACTTCGATGAACGTGTTACTCATAGGAAGCATCGAAAACAGACATATTTCTTCATGTCACTGAGCGGACAACCACTGTTATCGGGAAAATGATGATGACAGATATTTAATTATAAAAAGTGGATTTTATGAAACCTTATATTTGATGAAAATCGTCACATTTTCGCTTCCTTGGTCCTTAATCTGGAAGTTATGAATATGTTACCTTCCATTTTTTTATTTACAACAAACTTAATTCAGTTGTAAATGCATTATTTAAATGATGTGATAAACATAACTTTCTTATGTATAAACAGTAGGATTATGTGTAGGAAATGGTGTATAACATGTAGTAGCAAAGACGTTTTACAAGCAGATATTTTCCTTGATAAATGTTGGCTTCGTCTATCACACAAGAGTCTCTGGGAACTCGGTGTCACAGAAGTAAAAGCTTCTGGTTGCCTGGTGTTGAAAGAGTTAAGAATAAGCTTTTGTAAAATTTGATTTTCGCCAGGTGAGCTAAAACAAGTTAATGCTTAAACAAAGCTAATCATTAAACATAGTAAACATCATAAAATGTAAATGCCAACTATAAAATCAACATGTGTGAAATAGTCCGTTTATTACATACTAACAGGGGTGATATAGCAGTACATACAACATATGAATGTCCAATAACGAACCAACTGCAACAACCAATGATCTGCTTGTTAGGTAAGGTTTGAGTATAACATGCGTGGATGCCTATGACAGTGATAAACATTAGCTAGATGACTTGTGAGACTAGAAGGATGTGGACGGATGTATTTTTCTGCCTGTCAATCTACCTATGTGTTCCAAGCCCCACTATGTCCTAACAAATCTCAGAGATCAGCTTATTAATATTTCATAGATGAACTAAAAAATCTTTGGGAATTTAAAAGACCAAGTTAGATGGTAGAAATATAGGAGTGAGTATGGTTTTACGCTGCTTTTAGCAATATTCCAGCAATATCACGGCAGGGGACACCTGCACCTTTCTCACTCATGTCATGATGACCTGCATTCTCTAAGTCATATGTCACGGTGACTTGCACCTTTCTCACTATGTCATGATGACCTCTAGTCTCTAAGTCATATGTCACGGTGACTTGCACCTTTCTCACTCACATGTTACAGTGATCTTCTCTTAGTTATAAGTCAAGGTGACCTACTCCTCCCTTGTTCATATATACGATGACTGGCAATTCTCTTACTCCGTCACAGCTACCTGCATTTCTCTTAGTTCAATGTCGTGATGACCTGACTGACACATCACTGTCACAATCCTTCTAGTACAAGTCCGACTATGCAGAGAAGTGTATTAGCTTATTATAATTAGCCTGTTCCCAGCAAGATATGGCTACAGTAAAGAAGATAATTGGGTTAATGTTGTCCCTGCACCAAGCTGCCTCTGAACAGGAGGAAATAGCTATTGTCTTTCTCAGAAGGAACCTACGCCAGCCTGAACCCAAACTTGGGCATATAACCTGGCCCAGGACAAGCGGACACCAACAATGGTCCTTGCAGATGCCATTCAAGGTCAGAAGAAATTCTGTCAATGACTTGCTCAGTAATTTATGGCCAAGAACGTAACATTCCTTCTGAGAAAGAATCTGCAGAACCTAATCTGGATATGACTGACGAAGCAGGTGTCAACAAGTCACCCCTGTCACTGTTTGTGGTGAATTGAATCTCATCCTTAGGTTATACTTGTACTGGGTAGTAGTTGTAATTTGTTTAATTTGATTTGTTTAATGCCACACTCAGCAAATTCTCCAGCTATATGACTGTGGTCTGTAAATAATCGAGTCTGGACCAGATAATCCAGTGATTGACATCATGAGCATCGATCCACACAATTGGGATATGATGACATGCATGAACCAAGTCAGCAAGCATGACCACCCACTCCCGTTAGTCGTCTCTTACGACAAGCATAGTCGCCTTTTACCATGGGTTGCTGAAGATCAATTCTATCCCAGATCTTCACAGGTAGTACTGGGTAGAGGATCATATTGCATAAAGAGTCAAAACAATAAGGCTGATCAATTCTGTACTGGTGCATGCGATGTTAATTCCCACGATTCAGAACACAATATACTTAAATCTTTATCGATTCATAAATTGTCTGAATTATCTGGACAAAAACATTTATACCAAGCATAAAATAAAGTTAACCCTAGTACTGAGACTGCCTTTTAATGACATGAACATTTAACTTCCGGAAGCGACGGAAAAAAATCAGCTTTTCTTTCGCCCTATAATTACAAACTAACACTGTTACTGAGACTTAGTCTTTGTTCCATGTAATGAGTACTGAACGTAGTATCAAACTATATTGTTCTGGTAAAATAACATCAGTGGACCCCCCAGCCCACCCTTGTATAGTGATGGTTGCCCAGGTAGCACTGCAAGGTGTTCCTATCCAAATGATCTGGTAGTGGATCATCATTCCCGAAAAGTGTTTTGTTTTCTACGGACTGGCGTGTTTCCATGAATGAATCTCGCAACTTACAGACATCCAGCGAAGGTTCTGTATGAGGCGTAAGAAATAAATATTGCAGTTCTGATTACATTGATTTCAAAACCAGCATCTGCAATTTGAAGAGAGAAAGTTTGGATGACCGCCGCTTGAAACAGTATTTCAGTTATATCACAGGGTGTTAGATTGATGCAAGAGGAAAGCCTGAAGTGATACAGGTTTCAGATGTTTGCCATATTGGTTAGCCAATCAGCACGGGTATGATGCAGACAAACCTAGAAACATAATAAGGGCAAATCTGGGATTGATCCCGCCATCATAGGTTCCTGGTACTTTTAAGGGAAGCAAATTGGAACACCTCGAGCAATTGGGCCACGGATGGATCCAAATGATTTCAAAGAAATAAATGATAATGTGTAATAATTGTTATCAAAGCATTTAACTCCTCGTTCATCGTGTAATCAGAACCACATCATTTGTTTCTTACGCTTTAACAATGTTTGGATAATGAAAGAAACAAAGTGTACCACTGTTTTTGAGCTTTTTATTTTTGACCAGTCGACAATGGATGTGAAGTCTGTGGTTTAAGCCTGAAATAAATGCAACCACATCCTATCTCAGCAAGGCATGACACACAGAAGGTAGGAGAAGAGGTCAGGAGGGAGGGAGGGCTATGGTTCACACAGAAACTCAACCACCAAATTTAAGACTTCAAAAATCAAAACATCATATTTACAGATAAAACAGAAGCCAAAACAGTCCTTTATAAAGAAATTAACTTGAAGACTAGACTAATTTGTACTAGGAATGTAGCATCTGTGAAATCAGATTGAATAATAATCAGTTTGTTAATTATTAGTATGAAATACTTTGGTTCAATTTCACAATAACATGGAAATAAAATCATAAATGCCCAATTTAAGGCCCTTTTAACTCTTTTCTAAGACCAGATTCGCATATCAATATATGGTTACATTTGAGGTCCAGAACTGAAGCATCCAAATTCAATCTGTATGAACCAAGAACGTGAGTGCAAAATCAAACATATGAATAGCATATAAATATTTGAACATCGGATAGAAAGCAAGACTGAATGTTAAGATCTTATGGTAAAGCCTCATACTGAATAAAGGCCAAGCACTAACCACTGCTGATGCTGTGTTTCAGCACACGATTACGCGGAGTGCTTATCCTCAATGCTTTGTGTGAATGAGTCTAGTCTTTAACTTCTTTAAAAACTGGCCCTACACTGTCCCCATGACACAGTATGAAGCACTTCACTGGAGATATTCAGTTGAACCTTGACCTTAAATCATTAACGCCAAATGAGCTGGGTTTAAATCAACGGATACACGCTGTGTCAGCCAAATTTAAGACTCTTTCCACATCGGTGACAGGAAGTAATCTGCCAAGCGCCCTTAGTTTGGAATTCTAGATAAATCACTGGGTGAATCCTAGCAGCATGGCTAAAGTCTCCAAAGAGTTCTGAACAAGTGCTTGTCAAGTACTTTAAATACAGTGTTTGAATAAGAGTCAACATCTGAAGCAATGTTGATACAGGATTACTGATAGCTGGAGGAAAGCTGAAAGTGAGTTAGATGATGAGGAATGATTTCTAAATATGAAATACGCAATAGTTTACAACAGTTTTCAAAGATTTTAAACACATCAAGTAAAAATATAACCCCACAGAAACCCATAGCCATGAATACAGGCCAAGGCCCACTTGCACAGAGCAATCTTAGCGCTACGACAATTGTAAGCCTAAGTAAGGGAGGTACGATCATCTTAGTGCTAAGATCGTTTTGTGCAAGTGGGCCTTGGCCCAGGAACCCACAGAAACACATCGCCATGAAAACAGGCTAGGGACCCACAGAAACCCACAGCCATGAATACAGGCAAGGGACCCACAGAAACCCACAGCCATGAATACAGGCAAGGGACCCACAGAAACCCATAGCCATGAATACAGGCTAGGGGACCCACAGAAACTCACAGTACCTGTCTGATCCACTGTGACCTCGCCGCCCCCTGAACAGGTGTCCATCTTCACCGGGCTGATGGTGCAGGTCTGTGTGCAGTGGCCGTTGCAGTCGCTGGACTTGTGCCGAGTTCTTGTCTCTATTATACACTTCTCTTCACCATTCTCCTGGAGACCAATAAGACATGATAAACATGATAAACATGAATTGTGTACCATCACACACAACTGTCCAGTCTCTCAGAGGAACAAGACCCAGTAACACATGATAAACATGACTTGTGTACCATCACACACAACTGTCCAGTCTCTTGGAGGAACAGGTCCCAGTAACACATGATAAACATGACTTGTGTACCATCCCACACAACTGTCCAGTCTCTCAGAGGAACAGGTCCCAGTAACACATGATAAACATGACTTGTGTACCATCCCACACAACTGTCCAGTCTCTCGGAGGAACAGGTCCCAGTAACACATGATAAACATGACTTGTGTACCATCACACACAACTGTCCAGTCTCTCGGAGGAACAGGTCCCAGTAACACATGATTAACATGACTTGAGTGTCATCGATCTACAGAACAGTCAGGAGAGAAACATACTGTTCTTTAAAGTACTGTCCAATTCCAGTATAGGTTTCCATCTTAAAGCACTAGGTCTGGATTAATTGGCAGGCCTAGCAAATTTAATTAAAGTTTGTAAAATCTACTTTCTCAGTGCGCTAACTCAAATCTTATTATATATGCAGGGTCTTATGTGATGCACAAACATGCATCCAGTATGCACAAATGTTGACATTGGACGCAGAAAAAGAATAAATTGCATCCCGAGGGACTCACATTAATAGTTATTTACCTACAGCACATCAAGATCAGTTATGGGTATCTGTCATTACATCCATCAATCATGACCATTGTCCACATGATCAGTGATTCATTCAAGGCTCTAAGTAATTATCGGGGTGGTCGGGTAGCCGAGTGGTTTAAGCGTTCACTCGTCGCGCCGAAGACCCGGGTTCGATTCCCGACATGGGTAAAATGTGTGAAGCCCATTTCTGGTGTTCCCCGCCGTGATATTGCTGGTATATTGCTAAAAGCAGCGTAAAACCTCACTCACTCATTCACTCACTCTAAGTAATTATCAAAACGAACAGTACACTACACCACTTCATTTCTTTACAGGACATCCTATTGCCTGCAAGGACCATTAAAGTTAAGTATTGGGTCCCCTGGACCCCCACTTTTGTAAGACTAGGTAATATAAGTCAAATTAGCAGTTAATTATTATCACTACTACACTGAGGAAATGTTTGGATTTTACACTTTGCACAAATTACATATCTAGGCCTAGACTTTGGCACCAGACTGTGGAGCAGATAGCCTCCCTTCAATACGTACCTTGTGTGACGACAGTAGACAAACTGAACTTTAGGTCACATTGGCTACCATTTTAGTCGCAACTTTGAGGCCTGACATCACTAATATGATGTCATAACCATGGTAACACAGCATCTGTGCACCAGCATGCAGGATAAATGACATCACACAGTGTTACAGAGCAGTGGCAAACATAAAGCTCCCACAACTTAAATCAACTTTAAAATACTGGTATGCAGTCACGCATTTTTAATAATATAAGAATTTCGCCACAAATTCTTTCATAATTCTGACACTTTATATAGGTTTGAGAAAAGAATGAGTTCAAAGATATACTTGACTTCCTGGTTTGACAGTGTTCACACAGGGTCTAAGCCATTTGCATATTTTATGTGTGTTTTATCTAATAATCTATTGCAAGTCATCAAATTATCATTCCTTAACCTTAAGGGTGTGCTTTATTATCGGTTTGAGGTTCATTCTTTCCATGATACGTATCACAATTTTATTTTTAATGCTCGGTATGTCGGGGATTTCAAACAGCGATTTTATCATGTGTTTAATGTTATATCCTTGAAAAATGCCTTCGCTGCACCAGAGCATGCCCAAAGATGGCTGCATATTTATTGACTATAAACATTTTGTTGTCCCAGCATCTTGTTTTGTTCTATTTATGAACTTCAACTAATACCTTAATGTATCTGATTGCTTCTGAATTCAAAATTTAGAATTATACAATATAACGTGATACATATCGCAATATGGCTTTGTGAATCGCAAACTATTGTGATAAACCTCCAATACTCATCCCTACATAACCTTAACCTGCTCAATGCTAGCACACTTCATTTGACTCATTTACCACGTAAATAATTGTCATCACGCATGCACGCACGCACGCACGCACGCACAAAATAGTAAATTGTCCAGAAAGCAGATCCCCCTATAGAGTCCGGACCAACAGCCTTGCAATGTATTCTCTTCACTGTTTGGTCGTTAAACTAATACTTGGTGTACTCAACACATTTTATTACCCTCGGCTTTCTGAAAGGGAGGAGTCTGATCTATTCTCAACCTTGTCTCAACTTATTTCAAAAATGACACACAGACCAGACGACCGAGGTACAGAAGCTTACCTATAACTTTAGAAAAAACTTGATGAGTATTTCCACAAGTTCACAACCTATCAAGGTTCCTTGACAGGGTGAACTGACAATGAGTCAACAATCGGCAAGAATGCAGTATACCGGACACCTTCCACCATTTTGGTAAGGGATGTGCACAACCTTATTTCTTAGTAACGGTTTCTATGTTTTACAGATGCCATTTTTGTCGCCCCGCTAAAACATCAGGGGTTTGCCTCCCACTCAACGGCCCGAATTAAATACTTTCATATGTAAATGAAATGTATACTTACCAAAGTAAGTAAATTAAATGTTCAATTACCAAAGTAGATACAAAATACTTTATTAGTAGCATCAAACAAACCTGGCGGATTGGTATCCGGTATAATGCATGTGTACCAAAACAATCAAAAGCAATGACCCTTTCCCTCTACATTTTGCTCCATTCCGAGGAGCTTCAAACAAAATGATCTTAATTATGTTTGTGTTTTCTGGAAACTGTATATTTGTAGTAGATTATGAACATGTTCCCAATTTAATTACCGTATTCGACGTAATAAGCGCCCAGGGCGCTCTCAACATTAGAAATAGGGGGCTCTTATTAGAATGTTATTTTGGTGAGAAAAAACTCAGAGTTGAAAGATAAATTTCGTGGTTTATGCTGACAGCCTGAAATGTTAATGTACGACAAATATATTTTTCCAGAATTAAATGCCCATAATTAAGGGTGCATATAACACAAGAGTGTGTATTATACGCGAATAAATAAGTCTTGTGTACATTGATGAATCGGAAGGGGTGCTAATTGGGATTGTTCACAAGCCAATATCTTAGCAAATGTCGCCACGGGCGCTTATTAGAGCGGGGCGCTTATTACGTCGAATACGGTATCTAAAATACACAGAATATTACTTTAACATTAATCATTTGCACAAAACTGAACTAAATTCAACATGCTAAAGTCAGCAAACATAATCATAAATAATCATTAAAATATATAAACACACTGACCTAATATGAGCTCAGAGTTAATATATTCCCAGTTGCACAGGAAATACATAACTCTGCCCATCCATCACCTAATATTAAAATGACACAGACATGTTATAACACATATATATCACACCACAGTAATATACTGTTGCCAATGGCCACCAGTGTAAGGAGAGCTATCTCTAACACAGCATGCATTCCACCACAAAGACAACCAACCAACATAGTTAACACAGGGGACACAATGGGAGGAGGAGGATGGGAACCAATCAGTTACTACTTCATCAACTCAAATTCTTTACACAGCAAGAGCAATGCAAAAAGGAGACAAAAACAAAAGCAATGAAATTTCCATTTCCTATGATTTGAAAAGGAAATCAACAAAAGTTAAAAATCATGCATGCATAGTTTCATATTGTGATCAACGATTGTTTGAAATTCAGGCATTGACATGATGAATAATACCCTCTTGTCCAAATTTTAACCAGAAATCTTCACCCCCCCAAAAAAGCCAGACAGAAATGGGCAGAAAGTCACGTGTTGAGGAGTCACATGACCAGGCGGAGCCAATGAGATGAGGGCTGCATGCTGAGTGGTGGAAACACTGTTACCAGTTTACAGATAACTCTGCTCTCTGCTTGTTGGTTAGTAGTAAACACCTTCGGCTGACAGTTGCTGCCCACGGGCTGTGCAGGAAGTTCCTGGGGTGCTGCACTCTGGGTAGCCTGATGGTACTTCTGGTGGCAGCGTATCGCCCTCAGCGTGTTGAACGCCTCCACGTTGTCTGGGTGCCCCTCCAGGGCCCGCCGATAGTGCCACACTGCCCCGGTGTAGTTGTTAGTTGCCCATAACACATTGCCAAAGAAGAAATGAGTTGATGGCTGCAAAACAAAGGCACAAAGGCATAATTTAGATATGGTGGAAACTGGACTTTGGAGTCAGTTTACTCCCTTGCCTCGGGAAGATGATATGAACCTGGGCCATATACACAGCCATTTAGCCATCCAATTAGTCCTGCATTAAAACACAAAATAATCCCCTCCCATTGAGATGAAGGCCAGGGGACATAACTCACCTCCCAGTCATTAACACTCAGAGCATCCCGCAACACTGTCACTGCATCGTCGTATCGACCGTAGCGGTAGAAGATATTAGCCAAGTTTACTAGTGGTACATCTCGGTACTCGTCAGGTACAAGATGCAACGATCTGCGGATACACTCAATACCATGGTAGTTGTTACCAATGATGCGCCAGTACATCCCAGCTAGGTTGTATAACACCCAGCCTGGGCCAATATTCTGTAACAAATAAAAAAACAAAACAACATGAGCATGGGGTACCATTACCCATGAACTTACCATATATTTTGTGCATGCTATATTTTGATGGAAATGTTATTTAATTGCAATGTAAAAACATTATTATTTGGGCATGGTATCTGTTTAAAAAGATCATGATAATAAGGTGTTCAACATAGCCATGAAAACACATTTGAACAAAGGATAATGACAAAAACAAACATAATTGCTTTTGCTGAACAGTGATTTCTTCTCATAATCTGACCTCTTTCAATGCTGTGAGTATTCTCTGTCCAACTTCCTCCTCGGTCACTATTGGGTTGTTCACATGGGCCAACAGAATCTGTAACACAACCAGAGCTCAACTACCAACATGTCAGACATGGGCCAACACAATCTGTAACACAACCAGAGCTCAACTACCAACATGTCGGACATGGGCCAACAGAATCTGTAACACAACCAGAGCTCAACTACCAACATGTCGGACATGGGCCAACATAATCTGTAACACAACCAGAGTTCAACTACCAAGATGTCAGACATGGGCCAACACAATCTGTAACACAACCAGAGTTCAACTACCAAGATGTCAGACATGGGCCAACACAATCTGTAACACAATCACAGCTCAACTACCAACATGTCAGACATGGGCCAACACAATCTGTAACACAATCACAGCTCAACTACCATCATGTCAGACATGGGCCAACACAATCTGTAACACAATCACAGCTCAACCAACAACATGTCACACCAGAGACCATTAGTTAATTGGAGCAACGATTGTTTAATGCCAGTAATAGCAATGGGCTGCTCAGTAGGGGAGGAAGGGCTGGAGCTGTACTGAGTCACTAGTGAACCCCAGTAACGTAGGCCAGTCATAGCAATGGGCTGCTCAGTAGGGGAGGAAAGCCTGGAGCTGTACTGAGTCACGAGTGAACCCCAGTAACATAGGCCAGTCATAGCAATGGGCTGCTCAGTAGGGGAGGAAGGCCTGGAGCTGTACTGGGTCAAAGTGAACCCCAGTAACATAGGCCAGTCATAGCAATGGGCTGCTCAGTAGGGGAGGAAAGCCTGGAGCTGTACTGAGTCACTAGTGAACCCCAGTAACATAGGCCAGTCACAGCAATGGGCTGCTCAGTAGGGGAGGAAGGCCTGGAGCTGTACTGGGTCACTAGTGAACCCCAGTAACATAGGCCAGTCATAGCAATGGGCTGCTCAGTAGGGGAGGAAGGCCTGGAGCTGTACTGGGTCAAAGTGAACCCCAGTAACGTAGGCCAGTCATAGCAATGGGCTGCTCAGTACGGGAGGAAGGCCTGGGGCTGTACTGGGTCACTAGAGAACCCCAGTAACATAGGCCAGTCATAGCAATGGGCTGCTCAGTAGGGGAGGAAGGCCTGGAGCTGTACTGGGTCAAAGTGAACCCCAGTAACATAGGCCAGTCATAGCAATGGGCTGCTCAGTAGGGGAGGAAGGCCTGGAGCTGTACTGAGTCACTAGAGAACCCCAGTAACGTAGGCCAGTCATAGCAATGGGCTGCTCAGTAGGGGAGGAAGGCCTGGAGCTGTACTGGGTCACAAGAGAACCCCAGTTAAATAGGGCAACCCATAGAATAGAACATTCTTTCCTGATCTGATAGTTTCCAAGTTAACATTATTCAGTACAATAATTGTTTGCAATAATCCCTATATTCTAATGGTCTGATAACTGCTTGTCATTCATCATACCGGTCTCATTGAGGGGTCGTTATATTTCAGTGGGATCTTGCTCTTCTCTGAGTATGCCATGGATTTGAGATGATCGTAGGTGCGCCGGTTGACGTCTGGGATTTCCAGCAGGGGGACACACACTGGTGGGTACCATGGCAACGGGTGTTCTCCCCCTGGTTTTAAGTTTTGAGCTTCAGTGAGCAATGCTTTTACTCTGAAAAGATAAAGGAGCACATTCTTCACACAACTTATCTGCCAGGAGAGCAGGAGGATTGCCAGAAGAGGCAAAGTGGGATGATTGGTCAGTGCCTTCAAGACATTATAACAAAACAGATTAAGATTATCCCCCTATTCTACAATATCCATGCTCTGCAGCCTTTATGGCTCATCAAATTCAAAGAGGTAAAGTGAGGTGAAATGGGGTTTAACATTGCATTCAAAATTATTGCACTTATATGTGGGTGTGTGGGGCTGCCTGTACTGATGCCAGTTTTACAGTGCTAGCCCACTGGTTGTTTGTTGTTAACGTCACACTCAGCAATAGTCCAGCTATATGACGGCGGTCTGTTAATAATCGAGTCTAGACAAGACAATACAGTGATTGATATCATGAGCATCGATTCCACGCAATTGGGATATGATGGCATGCGCCAACCAAGTCAGCGAATCTGACCACCCGATCACGCTAATCGCCTCTTAAGACAAGAATAGTGACCATTTACAGCAAGCACGGGTTGCTGAAGACCTATTCTACCCCAGATCTTCACGGGTCGCTAGCCCACTGAAACAACAACACAATGTAACCACTCAATCGCCATTTTGTGTTCTTACAAACATTGCACACTCCGGCGCAGTGGTGACTTAGCATTACACCACTGCCACAAGGTATTTTGCATATCAGGTCACTGGCTTGTCACTTGTTTGTAAACAAACGTGTTTATTCTGAAATCAGAGGAGACTTGTATGATGAAAGCCTTACAGTGAACTTTAGACATTTTGCATAAATATACAGATAAGCTACTACAAACGTGACAGAGAAGTTGGTTTGTTGGTTTGTTTTTTTAATGCTGCACTCAGCAAATTCCAGCTATATGATGTCTGTCTTTAAATAATCCAGTCTGGACCAGATAATCCAGTGATTGACATCATGAGCGTTGATCGAAGCAATTGGGATACGATGACATGCATCAACCAAGTCAGCTAGTCTGACCAACCAATCCTGTGAGTGAGTTGGGTTTAACGCACTTTTAACTGTAATCAAGTTATATCGCGGCATGTCAGCTTAATGTGTGAGGAAAGCCCGCAATGATTCAGGTCTCAGACGTTTACCACTTTAGGGAACCCCACGAGGTATGGTTTACCCTTCTGTGTACATAACAGGCTTCTCCACTCCAGTGTAACTGCATCTTAAACCTACTCAACGGTATAAACACTGCCTCCTATCCTGTATATATACTTGTCAACCATAATCTGTACATCACTTTCCTGATAACGGTGTTACACCGAAACGTAGCTCCTAATTGTAATAAAGAAGTTGTTCATTAATATATTTTATCCTTAATTAATACTCCAACTTCAAAACGCCTCTCAAAGAAGGTATGGTGCTGACAAGCCTAGAAACATAATTGGGGCGAATCAGGATTCAAACCCACAATCATAGGTTTCTGGCGTTCCCAAGGGACGCAACTCTGCACAGCGAATCACAACACCTTAGACCACCGGGCCACCCGTGCCCCCCCAATCCTGTTAGTCTCCTCTTACGACAATCATGGGTTGCTGAAGACCTATTCTAACCTGGGTCTTCACGAGGGTCCAATATTAGTACACCAGGTCAGTAGACTTACTCAAAGCCTTTATTTTCAGGAGACAGGTAGGTTGTGGTGAGGTTGCGGGGATCCGGCACCTTCTGGACGTATGTGTCACACTCTTCCTTCTGGGGCCACTCCTCAATCATGTGCTCCATGTTTGTCTGAAACAGAGAGATGGTGAACGCTGTAGAAGTCCACAGAGTCCAGCTACACCAGGCCAGTGACTGAAAATTGAGGAAAGATGCACATAATCTGGGCCTGAGTGAGTAAGTTGGGTTTATCGCCGCTTTGAACATTATTCCAGTTACATCACATCGTGTCAGCTTGACGTCGGAGGAAAGCCCAAAGTGATGCAGGTCTTAGAAGTTTACCACTTTGGTGAAGGACATGAGCATGGGTATGGTGCTGACAAATCTAGTAGGTACTGTGGACCAAGGCAAGTACGAGGTACTGTGAACCTAGGCAAGTAGGAGGTACTGTGGACCGAGGCAAGTAGGAGGTACTGTGGACCTAGGCATGTAGGAGGTACTGTGGACCTAGGCAAGTACGAGGTACTGTGGACCTAGGTATGTAGGAGGTACTGTGGACCGAGGCAAGTAGGAGGTACTGTGAACCTAGGCATGTAGGAGGTACTGTGGACCGAGGCAAGTAGGAGGTACTGTGGACCAAGGCAAGTAGGAGGTACTGTGGACCGAGGCAAGTAGGAGGTACTGTGGACCTAGGCAAGTACGAGGTACTGTGAACCTAGGCAAGTAGGAGGTACTGTGGACCTAGGCATGTAGGAAGAACTGTGGACCTACTCCAGCCAAGTGGAACTCACCTTTGGAGGAGGGACTTTATTTTTTGAATACATTGGTGGCCTGACAGGTTTGGAGTAGTCCACCTGCTTCTTGCCTCTCTTCTGAATGTAATCGGATCCCTTCTCACCCTGTAAACACAATTCTTTATCATTTCAACAGTTTCACAGACACACCTAAGAGCTCGATGTTTAGCCATGGAACACATATTGTAATACTGAAATTAATTGTGCATGTAATTTCACATTAAATTCAAAATATTTATTATTTGGGGTTACACAAATCATCAGCTGCTTTTCCAACACAGCATTTACCACTCTTCAGAGATAGTTGTTTTCACCATCTTGAAAGCAGTACCTCTTTCATCTTGGAACTGTGCGAGTCAAAATCCAATGGCCCTCTACGTTTACTCCAGGAACAGACAAGCACCTGCTTCCCATCGCGAAGTTCCATACGGCAATACTCCCCTGAAAACAAGTGAAAATGTAACCTGAGATGATATCTCACATCCAACTCATAACAATTGTAAAATGACAAAGGTATGGTTTGTGCAGTCAAGAATAAACAGGGGAAATCTGGATTCAAACCCAAAAGTATTGCTTACCGATGCCAGTGTATCCAAGAACGAGACAATATTAAAAAGTGTAATATCAACAACAGAATGTCATCATATCGTGCCGTACCTATTTCTGAAGGCATCACTTTTATCTTCTGTGTCTCATATGCTATCTGTTGTGCGGCCTTGACCTCTGGTGAGACTTGTTCAAAGTCCAGCTTGTCCTGCTGCGTCTGCCAGTGGTCGTGTTTCCGCTGGTATTCTTTAAGTTCCTTCAATGTCTTCTGTAGGGACCTGCCAATAACCACTGTACAGCTTAAAGAGAAGCTAGACTTCACAGTCTGTTGTCCTAATCAGTTTACGTTTGCCAATAACCACTGTACAGCTTAAAGAGAAGCTAGACTTCACAGTCTGTTGTCCTAATCATTTTACGTTTGTTTGTTTGTTGTTTAAAGCCACACTCAGCAATATTCCAGCTATATGATGGTGGCCTGTAAATAATTGAGCTTCCAAGTAAACAATCCAGTGATCAATATTGAAAGCAACGATCCATGATGTCCATGAAGGATGACACGCAATCAACCATGTGCCCAATCCTGACCACCCGATCCATTAAGCTGCGTCGTACAACCAGCATAGGTTGCTGGGGATCAATTCTAACCCAGAGACCACACAGGGTCGCCTCTTACGTCCAGAATAGGCTGGTGGGGACCTATTAATATTATATTTCCAGCAACCACACAGGGGACCTCTCATGATCAGCATAGGTGGATGGGGACCTATTACAATCCAGCAATCACACAGGGGGTCTCTCACGACCAGCATAGGTGGATGGGGACCTATTACAATCCAGCAATCACACAGGGGGTCTCTCACGACCAGCATAGGTGGATGGGGACCTATTACAATCCAGCAATCACACAGGGGGTCTCTCACGACCAGCATAGGTGGATGGGGACCTATTACAATCCAGCAATCACACAGGGGGTCTCTCACGACCAGCATAGGTGGATGGGGACCTATTACAATCCAGCAATCACACAGGGGGTCTCTCACGACCAGCATAGGTGGATGGGGACCTATTACAATCCAGCAATCACACAGGGGGTCTCTCACGACCAGCATAGGTGGATGGGGACCTATTACAATCCAGCAATCACACAGGGGGTCTCTCACGACCAGCATAGGTGGATGGGGACCTATTACAATCCAGCAATCACACAGGGGGTCTCTCACGACCAGCATAGGTGGATGGGGACCCATTACAATCCAGCAATCACACAGGGGGTCTCTCACGACCAGCATAAGTGGATGGGGACCCATTACAATCCAGCAATCACACAGGGGGTCTCTCACGACCAGCATAGGTGGATGGGGACCTATTACAATCCAGCAATCACACAGGGGGTCTCTCACGACCAGCATAGGTGGATGGGGACCTATTACAATCCAGCAATCACACAGGGGGTCTCTCACGACCAGCATAGGTGGATGGGGACCTATTACAATCCAGCAATCACACAGGGGGTCTCTCACGACCAGCATAGGTGGATGGGGACCTATTACAATCCAGCAATCACACAGGGGCTCTCTCACGACCAGCATAGGTGGATGGGGACCTATTACAATCCAGCGATCACACAGGGGGTCTCTCACGACCAGCATAGGTGGATGGGCACCTATTACAATCCAGCAATCACACAGGGGGTCTCTCACGACCAGCATAGGTGGATGGGGACCTATTATATTCCAGCAACCACACAGGGGGTCTCTCACGACCAGCATAGGTGGATGGGGACCTATTATATTCCAGCAATCACACAGGGGGTCTCTCACGACCAGCATAGGTGGATGGGGACCTATTATATTCCAGCAATCACACAGGGGGACTCTCCCGACCAGCATAGGTGGATGGGGACCTATTATAATCCAGCAATCACACAGCGGGCCTCTCATGATCAGCATAAGTTGCTGGGGACCTATTACAATCCAGAAACCACACAGGGGGGCCTCTCCCGACCAGCATAGGTGGATGGGGACCTATTACAATCCAGCAATCACACAGGGGGGCCTCTCCCGACCAGCATAGGTGGATGGGGACCTATTACAATCCAGCAATCACACAGGGGGTCTCTCACGACCAGCATAGGTGGATGGGGACCTATTATATTCCAGCAACCACACAGGGGGTCTCTCCCGACCAGCATAGGTGGATGGGGACCTATCATATTCCAGCAATCACACAGGGGGTCTCTCCCGACCAGCATAGGTGGATGGGGACCTATTACAATCCAGCAATCACACAGGGGGTCTCTCACGACCAGCATAGGTGGATGGGGACCCATTACAATCCAGCAATCACACAGGGGGTCTCTCACGACCAGCATAAGTGGATGGGGACCCATTACAATCCAGCAATCACACAGGGGGTCTCTCACGACCAGCATTGGTGGATGGGGACCTATTACAATCCAGCAATCACACAGGGGGTCTCTCACGACCAGCATAGGTGGATGGGGACCTATTACAATCCAGCAATCACACAGGGGGTCTCTCACGACCAGCATAGGTGGATGGGGACCTATTACAATCCAGCAATCACACAGGGGGTCTCTCACGACCAGCATAGGTGGATGGGGACCTATTACAATCCAGCAATCACACAGGGGGTCTCTCACGACCAGCATAGGTGGATGGGGACCTATTACAATCCAGCGATCACACAGGGGGTCTCTCACGACCAGCATAGGTGGATGGGCACCTATTACAATCCAGCAATCACACAGGGGGTCTCTCACGACCAGCATAGGTGGATGGGGACCTATTATATTCCAGCAACCACACAGGGGGTCTCTCACGACCAGCATAGGTGGATGGGGACCTATTATATTCCAGCAATCACACAGGGGGTCTCTCACGACCAGCATAGGTGGATGGGGACCTATTATATTCCAGCAATCACACAGGGGGACTCTCCCGACCAGCATAGGTGGATGGGGACCTATTATAATCCAGCAATCACACAGCGGGCCTCTCATGATCAGCATAAGTTGCTGGGGACCTATTACAATCCAGAAACCACACAGGGGGGCCTCTCCCGACCAGCATAGGTGGATGGGGACCTATTACAATCCAGCAATCACACAGGGGGGCCTCTCCCGACCAGCATAGGTGGATGGGGACCTATTACAATCCAGCAATCACACAGGGGGTCTCTCACGACCAGCATAGGTGGATGGGGACCTATTATATTCCAGCAACCACACAGGGGGTCTCTCCCGACCAGCATAGGTGGATGGGGACCTATCATATTCCAGCAATCACACAGGGGGTCTCTCCCGACCAGCATAGGTGGATGGGGACCTATTACAATCCAGCAATCACACAGGGGGTCTCTCACGACCAGCATAGGTGGATGTGGACCTATTATATTCCAGCAACCACACAGGGGGTCTCTCCCGACCAGCATAGGTGGATGGGGACCTATCATATTCCAGCAACCACACAGGGGGTCTCTCATGATCAGCATAGCTTGCTTGGACCTATTACAATCCGGACACCACACTAGGGCACCTCTCACAACCAGCATAAGTTGTTGGGGACCTAGCTCAACCTGAAAACCCCATCAAACTCAAACCCATGTGTACCTTGAGTGATAAACACCTAGGTCAAAGAACTACATATGCAACACACATATGGAATGCATTAATTACGTACTAATAAGCTCTCTTGGATTTAGAAAATTGACAAAGGGGGTGCTCATTAAAACCATTCACAACGAGTGTGCTGTCAGAGATCGAGCAGTAATGAACAGACTTAGTTCAAATGTCTATGAAACTAAACGTTTCAATAACAGTAAACAGGCAATTATGTTCTGCTGTTTTTTCAATAATTAAATCTGTAAAATACACAAGAAAATATGACAGTCATGTACATTTTTGGTTGGGGTGTTTATAAAGATTTCTCACAGATTGGTCTAGAAGGATGTCAGGGGTGCTTATAAAGATTTCTCACAGATTGGTCTAGAAGGATGTCAGGGGTGCTAATAAAGATTTCTTACAGATTGGTCTAGAAGGAGGTCCGGGGTGCTTATAAAGATTTCTTACAGATTGGTCTAGAAGGAGGTCTAGGGGTGCTTATAAAGATTTCTTACAGATTGGTCTAGAAGGAGGTCAGGGGTGCTTATAACGATTTCTCACAGTTTGGTCTAGAAGGAGGTCTCGGGGTGCTTATAAAGATTTCTTACAGATTGGTCTAGAAGGAGGTCAGGGGTGCTTATAAAGATTTCTTACAGATTGGTCTAGAAGAAGGTCAGGGGTGCTTATAAAGATTTCTTACAGATTGGTCTAGAAGAAGGTCAGGGGTGCTTATAAAGATTTCTCACAGATTGGTCTAGAAGGAGGTCAGGGGTGTTTATAAAGATTTCTCACAGATTGGTCTAGAAGGAGGTCGGGGGTGCTTATAAAGATTTCTCACAGATTGGTCTAGAAGGGGGTCAGGGGTGCTTATAAAGATTTCTTACAGATTGGTCTAGAAGGAGGTCCGGGGTGCTTATAAAGATTTCTCACAGTTTGGTCTAGAAGGAGGTCAGGGGTGCTTATAAAGATTTCTTACAGATTGGTCTAGAAGGAGGTCAGGGGTGCTAATAAAGATTTCTCACAGTTTGGTCTAGAAGGAGGTCAGGGGTGCTTATAAAGATTTCTCACAGATTGGTCTAGAAGGAGGTCAGGGGTGCTTATAAAGATTTCTCACAGATTGGTCTAGAAGGAGGTCCGGGGTGCTTATAACGATTTCTCACAGTTTGGTCTAGAAGGAGGTCTAGGGGTGCTAATTGGAGCAGGGTGCTTAATAGGGTATTACAGTTTCTATTTTCAAGTTCATTGACCATGTTGACTGGCGACATATTTGTTGGTTCTGCCCTTCAACCCACCGATGTTGGGCTTCTAGAGCTGCCTCCAGCTTGGAGTGACACAGTACTGCATGCTTCCTCTTGGCCGCTGCCTCGAAGTCCGGCTGAATCTTCAGGGTGTTCTCAAAACATATCACCGACTTGTTATACTCCCCTAGCACCTGGAAACACACAAGCAGGGCATAAGACTTCAATCTTGTTCAATCAAAAGGCAGAAGTTAACCCTGCTGGCCATATCCAAGAACTTCACAGCTCACTTAAGACTAGTGGTTTACGAACAATAATTAAACGTTGGGAGAAACTCCCCCAAGAATTTCACTAATCTTGGACTACCATACAGTACTAGTCATCGCATCTAACTATGAATCCATGAGTTCAGATCATATTATTCATCACTTCAAAAATAACTGCATACTGTTAAGTCATTACATTAGTGAGTTTTGTTTTACGCCGTTTTAGCAATATTCCAGCAATATCACGGCGGGGGACACCAGAAATGGGCTTCACACATTGTACCCATGTCGGGATTCGAACCCGGGTCTTCGGCGTGACGAGCGAACGCTTTAACCACTAGGCTACCCAACCGCCCCTGGTCATTACATTAATAAATGTTGACAACTCCATCCTTTCCACAATAACATACTCTTATAAACCTCCAGTGACGTCATCCTATTGTTCTCTAGGCCGGTTAAATCTTATATACAGGGATGTTACAATACCCCTGAGATTATATATGTTCTAGCTCCGGCGATATTGTTACTTTTGAAATGTCCCGTGCTAGAAATGTATTTTTCATTTAAACACAATCTACAAGGGAAGGTGAGGAATTATGTAAAATGTAAAACCAAATGTTTGCTTCATATTTCAAAGGATCGAACCTGTAACCTTTGTATCTGGAGCCAAATAAATGAACCACACTGTTTGTTTCTTTGTTTGTTATTTAATGACGCACTCAGCATATTCCAGCTATATGAAGCTGTCTGTAAATAATCGAGTCTGGACCAGACAATCCAGTGATTGACATCATGAGCATCGATCCACGCAATTGGGATACAATGACATGCATCAACCAATTCAGCGAGCCTGACCACCCCATCCCGTAAGTCACGTCTCACGACAAGCAGTCGTCTGTTACAGCAAGCACAGGTTATTGAAGACCTAATCTAACCCAGATCTTCACGGGTCTGAACCACACTGAGAGTAAGTGTGTCATCCTACACTCGAAACACTGGTCCCAGGAGTGTAATGATACACAACACTATCCCACAAGCAAACATGCTGATGATTCACGACGACTGCTATAAAAAGGCAATACCAAAGGTCAAACCAAAACACATGTTTAGTAAACTTGAGATGAAGAGAGAAAGAGGAAATTGAAATCAGGAAATTGTACTTTACAAACTATTTTTAGACAACATGTCCTCCTTACATAAACAGATTGTTTTTTACTGAAACTAGACTGCATGATAAGTGAGTGAGCATTTCAGCTACATCAAGGCGTGTCAGCTTATATTGATATGGGAGGAAAGTAGGTCTTAGACATTGATCATGTCGGTTGAGTGAGTGTGTGAGTGAGTTGGGTTTTATGCCGTTTTTAGCAATAGTCCAGCAAGGTCACGGCGGGGGAGACCAGAAATGGGTTTCACACCAGGGGCTTCGGCATGATAAGCAAACACTTTAACCACTGGGCTACCCCAGGGAGCCTATGTTGGTTGAACCCACGAGCACGGGTATAGTGCTGACAAACCATGAATCATAAACAGAGTGAATCTGGGATTAAATTTTGAATTCGCAATCACAGCATTCTGGTATGCCTAAGGGATGCAACTCTGCACAGCAAGTGCCTGAAACGACTGGGACATCCGTAGTGGTACCATATGGCAATGCATAGATATCTTTGGAAACTCAAAACTGACTGGTTCTTTGCCCTTAAGAACTTGAAACATTAACAGTAGGATGTTCATTGTACCCATGGGAAAACTGAACCCAGGCCTTGACAGCGTGACAAGAGAACACTACCCACATGGCCGCCGTACCGCCCCTCAAATCATCCGATCCCACTCCAGTGCAGGGAATAAATACTACTTCACCATGGGGTGCCTTTCTTCTTTCCTTCACAACGGCAGAAAATGGGTACCTGGCAGTAATTTGACTGTTAACCTAGCACCTCACAAGGCGGCTTGGGTTGTAGCCTCCCCCCGAGAAATGAGAATTTATTTTGAGTGCACACGGATCAATTGACTAGGGTAATAATGTAAGTGCTTAGAACATGCTTACGGATTATCATGATTGCTATTATTATTTTAATAAACATTTTTTAATTTTTTTAATTGTTTAATTTTTTTTAATAATTTTTAATTATTTTTTTTATAATCACAATCTGAAAACTGCTTAGCAGCTGATCATTGATATATCTAGAATTCTAAGCTATGTGCATTGGCAATTTGGGAAATAAATTGTGTATTTTGCTCAAATTGGTTGGTGAAATAAAAATCACTTCTACAAAGTCACAACATTAGTTACTACTATACATCATGAACTGGGAAATGTGTAATTCTAATTTGGGAACATTTACTGACATTTGCTGCAGACTTAGGGTGGACTATCAGCCTCTGAGCAAGTCTAGATAAATCCTTGTTGATCCGGTGTTCCAAACTTGTGACATACAGATTCCAAGTCAACAGAAAGGACAGCCCTGTATGATGTAACAGTACCCCTACAGCATGGGTGTGTCACTGTGTGTATCAAGTGCGCTTCCTCCTTATGTAACACTAACAGGCCCGCCTGGACAGGATCAGTGTACACAAACGTCAGCCATGCTGGGCCACATCCTCATCCAGCGACCATCCCATCACTGTCACACACAGAGCGGTGAACTGTCAACTGTCTTGATTCCCGCTACAAGCTGTCAGATAGAATGACTGATCCCAGGGAGATAAGCAGACACAAAAATTTATTTTTTTTGAAAGAATTGTCCAGAGGTCCAGGAAGAGTTATTTTATTAGTCCTACAGACTAGGGCTGTTATGATTCACTCGCATATTCTGTGAATGGAACCGTATCCATTCATGAATTGAATTCGTTATTCACTAGAATCTAATATTTATGAATATGCAGTCATGTGCATTTACATACCCTGACCCTTATAATATCCATAAGAACATATTATATGCATAGATTTCATCAAAGACAACACTCTTATAATATATAATTTGACAGTATTGTAGTCACTCCTCATTGTCGCATTTGAACAGATACTAGTACCTGGATAAGTGCAGTATATAAATGTATAATAAATTAGTAATTAACAAACCATGTCAATAATTTATGTTATTGTTTCATTCTTATTCACCTCAAAGTGTATTCGTTGCAGCCCTACTACAGACTGGCTGTGGTGTTCTGGGACCCAAGCTTACCACATAGAAAAAACATCATCATCATCATTATCATGATCATCATCACTTACAAAGTGCCTAACTCCACATGGAATGAATGCTCGAAGTGCTGCATAATAAATCATCTCTCCAGTCACTGGATCAATGGACACTCAATTTTCATTCTCAGCTCCCTGGGGAATATATATCCCAAGCTGCCTGTGAGGCACAAGAAGGTTAACAGTCACCTCTCATCCTACCGGGTACCCACTCACTGCTGGGTGAACAGAGGCACAGGCTGACTTCCACGAGCTGGTAACCATGGTAACACGTGACTTCCAACAATTTTCTTGTTGAAAGAAACCCTTTTATTACTGATTGAATGCAGTAAATTGTAAATGGGCAGTTTCAACTTTGAACGTATGTTTGATCAGAATAGAAAGAAAGATAAATCTTAACCTGAATTAGTCTAAATGATAAAAACAGCCATACAGCATCCCCTAGGACTCATTGATAAAATACTTGGGTTCACTCTCAATTTTTAAGTGCACAGCTCTCAACTTTCCCAAATCCAAAGTACAATTTGCATTTTGTTACGATCTTCTGGTCAGGATACCAAACTCCATCAGTACGAATCATCTACAGTACAATGCAGACATGTAATTTCAAAATTCAGTTGATGATTTTATTAGTGTCTATTTCGACAACTGCAACTTCAATAATACGAGCCGGGTGGTTCAATTAGACAAATGCAAAACTATAAATAGACTTCACACCTCCGATAACAAGACATGTTCGTAGCAGACCGTGTAAGGCTAAAGAATGACCAGAGTCTGTGAAACTTGCGATCTTGTGATTTTTGCTGTTGCTGATTGGCATATAATTTGTATGAATTTAGGAAGAAATAATATTTTTGAATCAAATTCATAACATATGAAAACTTCGGGACAGTTGCCAGCTATATCATTGTATAGGTTGGTTGGTTTATTGTTTAACGCCGCACTCAGCAATATTCCAGCTATATGACGGCGGTCAGTAAATAATCAAGTCTGGACCAGACAATCCAGTGATTAATATCGTGAGCATCGATCCACGCAATTGGGATCGATGACATGCATCAACCAAGTCAGCGAACCTGACCACCCGATCCCGTTAGTCACCTTTTTCGACAAGCATAGTCGCCTTTTACAGCAAACACGGGTTGCTGAAGATCTATTCTACCCAGGAATCCATTGTATAGGATGCAGCATAACTGGCTCATCTGTGAACATTTTCACATGTAATTGATCACTCAACCAAGAAGTACATAAATTACTCCAAAGTTCTGATACTGTAAATATGATACAGTTTTATTTGTTTGATATACAACAAAGGTTCTTACCGCATAGATATTTCCAAGAGTAAAATGATTGACGTTGAGTTCCTTAGAAACATCCAGGGCTGCATGTACAATGATGGCTGCCTCGTTAGAATACCGGGCCCGGTGCAACACGTTGGCCAGACTTATGAGAGCTACATCCTTCTGTGATCTGAAACACATCATTCCTTCGTGTCAATCGTGGAAAGTACTTGACAGCTTACAACATCAAAGTTTAACAACATTCTAGAAAGAAATTTATTGAATTTTAAATACTCACATCAATGTTTTAAAATGACAATTTCGATGCCAGGAAAATACTAGTTATTATTTGAAAGTAGTCTGTGACTTTAGCCACTTGCGCAAAGCCTAAGCCTAGGAACATTCCTTTCAGTTAACTATTTATAGTCAGCTACTTACAAGAAGTCAAATGACAAGGTAAACAAAATAGTTTTGAACAAAAGACTATGGAAGCAAAGAAACAAACCATTTTGGGTGAGGGGAAATCGGTTTAACGTAAAGTCCAAGATTATAGCACTTATACAGTGACGTGCATGCATGTGTGTGTGTGTGGCTGCTTATACTAGTCAGGATTAATGCCGATTTTATAGTGCTAGGCCACTGAGATACCATGCCGCAGTTTAACATGAATCCCCAACTCAGACACAGTAGACTGACTCCGAGCCGACCAGTCCTTGTTTTAGCTCATTAATGTCGAAAGGCCAGGCAGGGTAACAATAAGTACCATATTTTAACGTCTTTTGGTATGACGCGGCCGAGAATTGAACCCTGGACCCTTGGCTCTCCGAATGGACGCTCTACCACTTGACCATGGAGGCAGTCCATGGAGAATTGAGGCAGACCTGAGTGAGCCCCGGGGACTGAGTGGGTTAGTTCGCTATTATTTGAGGTTATCATATAATATGCATATATTTATACTACTCAAAATATGTTAAGGAACACCCGTTTTCTTCATATGACAATAGTTAATCTGTCATAGCTGGTGGAATTGCAACACTCAGCCTTCTAATTGTGGGTGCTCTTTAACTTGTTTTGAGTAGTATATATGGACAAGGAAGGAATCAGGTCATGTGTTAGAAACATGACTACAAAACATGTCAAGAGAACACAACAAATTTCATTCCTGGACATAAATTTTTTCATGTTCAATACATAAATAGTGTACGACGTCTTGGCATGCTTGGAGTTCTTACCGGGGGGAGTAGTGGAGAGCTCTCCGGACACATTCAATGGAATGATAAGGATCTCCCTTGATGCGCCAGTAGAAGGCAGCCATGTTGTATAAAACCCATGACGTCTTATTCTGCAAGAGAATGAACATCAGCACTGAGAACATTTGATGAACAACAGCACTGAGAACATTTGATGAACAACAGCACTGAGAACATTTGATGAACAACAGCACTGAGAACATTTGATGAACAACAGCACTGAGAACATTTGATGAACAACAGCACTGAGAACATTTGATGAACAACAGCACTGAGAACATTTGATGAACAACAGCACTGAGAACATTTGATGAACAACAGCACTGAGAACATTTGATGAACAACAGCACTGAGAACATTTGATGAACAGCATTGAGGACATTTGATGAACAACAGCATTGTTTGTTTGTTTGTTTGTTTGTTGTTTAACGCCGCACTCAGCAATATTCCAGCTATATGACGGCGGTCTGTAAAATAATCGAGTCTGGACCAGACAATCCAGTGATTGACACCATGAGCATCGATCCGAGCAATTGGGATCGATGACATGCATCAACCAAGTCAGCGAGCCTGACCACCCGATCCCGTTAGTCGCCTTTTACGACAAGAATAGTCGCCTTTTACGGCAAGTATGGGTTGCTGAAGACCTATTCTACCACAGCATTGAGGGCATTTGATGAACAGCAGCACTGAGAACATTTGATGAACAACAGCACTGAGAACATTTGATGAACAGCAGCACTGAGAACATTTGATGAACAACAGCACTGAGAACATTTGATGAACAGCAGCACTGAGAACATTTGATGAACAACAGCACTGAGAACATTTGATGAACAGCAGCACTGAGAACATTTGATGAACAGCACTGAGAACATTTGATGAACAGCAGCACTGAGAACATTTGATGAACAGCAGCACTGAGAACATTTGATGAACAACAGCACTGAGAACATTTGATGAACAACAGCACTGAGAACATTTGATGAACAACAGCACTGAGAACATTTGATGAACAACAGCACTGAGAACATTTGATGAACAACAGCACTGAGAACATTTGATGAAGACAAGGATTTCAACTTCTTTATTATCTCAATGTGATGTTTCAGTACAGATGAAAGTGTTGTTTGTTTGTTGTTTAACACCGCAGTCAAAAACGTACTGATACTATACTGAGGAAAACTAGTGGCTACATCTTACATTGACTATTTCAGAAATAGATGCGATTTTCGAAAGGAAACATCTGTCTATTCTAAGAGATTTGTCATCGGAATCAAACTTTTTAGGCAAGCTAGAATTTGTTTCTACCAATGAAAACTATGACACACTTGTCTGCCACAAACTCCATGCTACAGTCTCCATTAGGCAACACTAGGTGGGTGGAAGTCCTTCTTGATGGTGTGTGTATCTGTCAGTGGGGGAATTTGAGTTAACGTCTGTGTAGCCTACCTTCTGTAAGGCCTCGTAAACAAGATGGCCGTAGTCATCCACATTTTCTCGATGTGTAATGGCATTCTTCAGCCCAAGCTCTGGGGTGCCGGATAAATTCTGTCTGTCTTTTAAACCCTGGAAAACAAAAAAGAATCTTTTTACATTGGTAAGGCTACAAAAACCTTCAGAACACCTCGTCGTACAAGAATATAACGAACATGACATTAGTTCTGTATGAATCATACAACCTGAATACCATATTCGATGTACTAAGCGCCCAGGGCGCTCTCAAAATTAGAAAAAGGGTGCTCTTAATAGAATATAGTTTTGGAAAGAAAAAAAAAAGTTGAAAGATCGTTAATATTGTGGTTTATGCTGACAGCCTAATACAAAAGAAAAGTCTGTGCGTATTATACATGACAGAAATATTTTCCAGAATTTAAATGCCCATAATTAATGGTGCATATAACACACAAGTTTGTATTATGCATGAATAAATAAGTCTTGTGTACACTGATCAATAGGAAGGGGTGCTAATTGGGATTGTTCACTAGCCAATATATTAGCAAATATCCCAGTGGGCACTTATTAGAGAGGGGCGCTTATTATGTCGAATACTGTACTGAAACTACCGTGCTTCCTTTAGTGCATGTATACAGCCTCACCTCAAGATGCTCAAACGCATGTATGCTGTAGTTGAGATCAGTCACGTCGAGGCAGACTGGTGCCATGGGCGTCTCCGGCAGGTTAGCATTGACCTCGATATGTTCATCTGGCCTGTGGATCAACATAAAACCATTATACTGACTGAAAGTGTGCGCTACGTTTCATAAGCTATTACTTGCGCTGTTCCCGCAGGCTTGACATTGCAGCAAACAATTCAATAATATTATCACTTTCAAGCAGGTTACAAATCAACAATTTTTCAAAATCTAGTTTTCAAAGAAACAACTATTCTTCAGGCACAATATTAGAGCCTTTAATTAGAGTAAGGGAGTTTAGTCACAAGGAAATCACAATAAACCAAGAGGTCTGAGAACTGGATTAAAGCCAGACAAGACCAGGCCTTGCACTTTCACTATTACATGATCAATAGTGTTCTTTGTATGCTTGTTGTTTAATGCCGCAACCAGCATTATTTCAGCACCAAAAGGTTAGAACTTAACACTTCTCCGCTAGCCTGGGGCCAGTACATATTTCCTAATTTCCCCATTTTTCAACAGTACAAGGTCATTTTCTCTTAACCTGGGCTAGAAAAGTTTTTGCGTTTAGTTCTAACCCTGAGCGGCTTATAAATATTGAGTCTGGAACAGAAAAACAGTGACTGATATCACGAGCGAATGTACCACGCCATCACGGTAGAGTGAGTGAGTGAGTATGGTTTTACGCCGCTTTTAGCAATATTCCAGCAATATCACGGCGGGGGACACCAGAAATGGGCTTCACACATTGTACCTACGTCGGGAATCGAACCCGGGCTACCCGACCGCCCCCCATCACGGTAGAGACACACTCCACCTTGACACTGAGCCTGACCACCGGATCTACTCAGTGGCCTCTTACATTTTGTTTGCTTGTTGTTAAACGCCGCATTCAGCAATATTCACGCTATATGACGGCAGTCTGTTAATAATCAAGTCTGGACCAGACAATTCAGTGATGGATATCATGAGCATCAATCTGTAGACGCAATTGGGATACGATGACATGCATCAACCATGCAGCGAGCCTGACCACCTGATCCATTAGTCGCCTGTTATGACAAGCACGGGTTGCTGAAAACCTATTCTAACCCATACCTTCACGGGTCCGCCTCTTACGAGCAAAGGTTGCTGGGGACCTACTCTAACCAGGAATTCTAATGGAATGTTTTATAGTAGGTACACCATAATGGATGCAGTGTCACTACTCACCGGATCCCCTTGTTTTCCAGAGGCAGCACTGTAGAAATGTACAGGTCGAACTCCGGAAGGGGCTTCCCTGCTTCCACACAGTTGGGATCTGTCTTGTAGAACCTTTGCTCAAGACCTGGAAAACACAAACATGGTTTCAATGACAAGAAGCTTAAGGTGAGGTGAGGTGAGGTGAAATGGGGTTTAACGTCGCGTCCAAGATTATTGCACTTATATAGCGACACGCATGTACGTGTGTGTGTGTGTGTGTGTGTGTGTGTGTGTGTGTGTGTGTGTGTGTGTGTGTGTGTGTGTGTGTGTGTGTGTGTGTGTGTGTGTGTGTGTGTGTGTGTGTGTGTGTGTGTGTGTGTGTGCTCGTACTAGTCCGGACTGATGCCGATTTATAGTGCTAGCTCACTGAGATACCATGCCGCAGTTTAACATGAATACCCCACTCTGACACAGTATACTGACTCCGAGGCGACCAGTCCTTGTTTTAGCCCCTTAAAGGGGAAGTGTACACGCAAAAGTTACTTTCTTTCTTTTTCTAAACAAAACGCAATTTTAGAATTAGTTAGTATCTGTGTTTGAAAATATAAACTCATTGTTTCACAATGAAAGTAGGAAGCTCACAATAATGTGAAAATGATATGCCGTTATGAGTCCTTCGTTTTTCGAGCTAAACAGGCCTGAGTTATCCCCCTTAGATTATGACGTAATTGGTGCCAATTCAACTGGGTCCCTGTCTATTCTCAACGCAAAAGATATCAAGTACCAGTTTGCGGTAAAACAACATGGCCTACGACACACTCCGGCGCAATGGTGACTCAGCATAACACTATGCTGGCTGGCATCTGAGACGCAAGAATCACACACATGTACCTACACCACGTGAAGCGGCTCTAACAAAGCATGATGACGTCATAATGTTTATCAATTGGCACCAATGACGTCATATTGCAAGGGGCATAAGCCATGGTGTTTTTGTTATGGAAATAGAACACTTGGTAAATGTGAAAAATATAAATAGCTTTAATGCGAAAAATATGTTGATTAATTATGATATTTTTATATTTTTGTCTATGACACTTCTAGGTTAACACTTTTAATGTGGAAAAAGTACAAGAAAAATAGGTTCATTTCCGTGTGAACTTGCCCTTTAATGCCAAGCGCCAGACAGGGTAACAACAAGTACCATCTTTTAACGTCTTGTGGTATGATGCGGCCGGGGATCGAACCCAGGACCTTCCGCTCTCCGGGCGGACGCTCTACCACTAGACCACGGAGGCGGTCACAAGTAGCTTAAAATACAGCTAGGAGACCACTCAACTGTGTCAACTGTAGACTATCTGTAAGAAACTATCAGTTCACTAACCTACTTTCTGTCATTTTAAGCTTGTGCATTAATTCTAAGCAAGCGCATTACAAATGTACTAATCACACCGATATTGAAGTAAACGATTCTCATTGTGTATGGATGCACCAAATTAAACTTTCACGGAGCATATTTGTGTTGTATTTTCAATTTTTTTATCAATTTATTTCAACTTTAAATCTGATTCAGAGTTTTTGTTACTTTGATGTTATATTTAAAATACGTTGACACACGGGTACCTTGACATTCGCTGAATCGTACATCATTTTAACAAATATGTTATCTGTAACTTAATGTCCCTGTGTTGGAGTGGGCGGGTGCATTAATGCAGCTAGATCACAGAATGGTATGTGGGAGGCAAGCCTAGACTTGCACATGATTCAACACTTGGATAAAACCCAGCAGCAAACCGGGGACTACGTTGCACAGTGTTGAAGCATTGCGGCCTACTTGCACAAAGCGATCTTAGCGCTACAACTATTGTAAGCCTATGTTAAAGTATGGGAGTTACGATCATCTTAGCGCTAAGATCGCTTTGTGCAAGTGGGCCCAGGTCAGAATAAATACAGCAAACTACACTTCTTCTACATTTAATGAAAATTCCTTCCACGTTCCACAACACAATGCTCACACTGAAATTCAAATGTTACATGAATGAAACACAACAGTGTGTGTCCTTGTGTTATCCATGGACGCAATCATCCATGCGAGCATTGGGAACACGTTTTATCAGAGTTGCAGATCTATACCACCATCTGTGACTGGTTCATTCCACGAAGAATGGATTAAGCAAATCATATTTTTCCGGCTAATTAGAAACACATATCTCATCTCATATGATGTCCTTTTTGTACAAAAACTAAACAACCCTTATTCAAGTTTGAGGTAAGAGACAACGGAAACAGAGAAGCCTCCTCACTTTTTGATTCCGTTACACTGGGGACAGGCAACTGTTGACAAAGACAGATTTTGAAGTAGCCAATCCTATGCTCTAGGGTAAATGTAAATCTGCAACCCTGTTTTATCATGTTGACTGGTTGGCAGAATGTGATAGCTCTTTCTCTGGATATCATTGCAGTCTACTTGTACATTTGTGGAAGGGGTGGGTGAGTGGAGTGGAGTGGAGTGGAGTGGAGTGGAGTGGTCTTATGCCAATATCCAAGCAGGGACACCAGGAATGGGCTGCACACATACCCATGTGGGAACTTAAACCCAGGTCTTTCGGCATGACGAGCGAACGCTTTACCAACCAGGTTGCCCAACCAACCCCACACAATAAACATGATAAACGATAAATAATTAGATTTTTGAAGTTGGAAAAACATAGACATGACTGTCACAGTAACATGACTCATGGCGTGTCAGATCGATGTAGGAGGAAAGCCCGAAGTGTTGAAGATCCTAGCCGTTTACCACAATGGTGACACCATGAGCACAGTTGTCAGCGTTCCCATTTATCGGTAATTACCATTTTTTTACCGGTAAAATTAGGCTTGGACCGGTAATTCATGTGACTACCAGTCCCTGCAAATAAAGTACCTTATAAATCTTTGTTGTTGAACAAAAAAATCGGTGATATTCATATAAGTACATTTTTCGAACAAAGTCAGCTTGTCTGTTACCATCAGGGTTTCCCCTTGTCTATTGCTAGGATAAATATCCCTTTGTCTCGAAATATTCAAAAAAGAAGTGAAAATTGTGAGTGAAGTTTATGTGAATGACGTATAGATCTAAACAAGTTACTTCAGAGATGACATCTTTGCACTGAACATTATGTTTAAAGAATTAAAACCAAATAATTTTCATATTTTTTAAAATTTGTTCAAAGTTGGGACTGGCAAAAATTAGGGGGGACTGGTAATTTTTAAAGTTGCCAGTCCACACTGAGGTGTGAGGCTGACAAACCAAGAAACAATCCTGGCATACAGTATAGTATTTTGTAAATGGAGGTCCCTATTGTTGAAAGAAAAAGGCCATATCTTTATTAATCGTGGGAGAATGACAACAAGGCAGACCAAAACATTGAGTTTCCTATTCCTTATGAATCAAATATCCCAGTAATGAGAGGTCAGCACTTCCAGGATGGCCTTCCAGCATCGCGCGACACCACCGAGGGCCCATGCTCCCTGGAGCAAAGCCACACATCAAAGGTTATACGAGAAGCTCATAACAACTGGCAATTTCCTCTCTGGAGATAAAATAGATTATCTGAAATCTCTAAGCTAATAACCCATGAAAGAGTATTAATCTCGAGGGCATGTATTAAATACCTGAACTGAGACTGGTAATAGTGTTTGAAATAAAGCTTGGAGGGGAAGGCAACCTTGTCATAACCCTAATGTCGAAAATCAAATTTCAAGGTGCTAAATTAAAATACCATCACAGTAACTAGGAGTAGGCCCCTTAATTTGTAACACTGTTCAGGTATTTAACTCAACGTGATCATTAAGTTAGAACACATTCATATCAACACGCTATTTGCACAGGGATACCATGATAATACAAGGCTGACACAGTATATATTTCTTCAATGGTTGGTTGGTTGGTTTGTTGTTTAACGCCGCACTCAGCAATATTCCAGCTATATGACGGCGGTCTGTAAATAATCGAGTCTCGACCAGACAATCCAGTGATTGATATCATGAGCATCGATCCAAGCAATTGGGATCGATGACATGCATCAGCCTAGTCAGCGAGCCAGACCAACCGATCTCATTAGTCACCTTTTACGGCAAGCATGGCTTGCTGAAGACCTATTCTACCCCGGAATCTTCACGGGTCCATTTCTTTAATGAATTGCAAGATTAAATGTAGAGACAATGCAGGGTACACAACTTCTGCAAGTGTTAACATAACAAATCATCATTAACCTTCTATCCTGTACTCAACAAATATCCCTTTTATGAATATTTAAATGTATATTTTGAATACGTAGATGCTGTGTTTCTCAACAAATATCACATGATGAATATTTAAATGTATATTTTGATCATGATATCATGACTGTGTATTCATGTGGAACAAATAAAAAACACACAAAAACAGCAACCATCTATCCTGTGGCTAGTCAATCTTACCAAGAGCAATATCGGAATGTGGAAGACAATTCTACCTATTGACTGACAATCAATAGTAATTCTTGTTTTAGGTGTCAGGTGTAGATATATAGCACTCACACCACATCGTACTGAGACAGCACTTGTAACAAGAACAGAAAATTCAATTGACCAGTCACACTGAATAAACAATAGTTCAGGGCTCAGATAACTTTAGCCATTGAGTATTTATTCAGATGTTATCATTCACACTGGTTATTGATAGTTTTCTTTCACTGTTCTATATGTTTTTACTCATTTGAGTCCAGTCTATCGGGCATTTTTACACCAATTAATCAACTCTCTTTATTTTCCAATAATTCTTCTTGAAATGATTATTCAGGTGACTTCTAATTTGTATCTTTTTGTGTGCTGCCCCAAGTGTCTGACGTGTCACAATGAACAAAACGTAATGCCTTCATTATGCATTATCCGATGCAGTAGATTTCATGCATGTTTAATGCAAGTACTCGATCAGTAAATAAAGAACCATTAAGAAACAGATGCACACAAGTTGAATTGAATAGTATTGAATACATGGGCAGTTACAAAAAGTGTTCTTATACTATTGCTTTTTTACAAAATTGGCATATTTGTACCCAGCAACTCAAATTCAATTGGAAAATTGGGATATAGTTTGCCTATTTTACCAGCGAGTGTTATTGG